AGGGGCCTCGTCTTAAAAGTCCAACAGGATTTCCAGAGGTCTCTAGCCCGTTTATATATTCTTAAATATTCAACTTGTAAATATTATTTGTGGGTAAATAAAACTAATCTAATCTAATCTAATCTTAGTTTAGTTTAGGTTTCCTCCTGTAATAACACTGGATCAATAAGAGATTATCCTTACTGGACCTCTTGGGAGAACAGTTTAGAACTGATAGAGCTATCCAGCATAAATAAAGTTAGTTTAGTTTATAGGTAAATAGGTTTCCCCCATTAGTAACACTGGATCAATAAGAGATGATTGGACTTGCGACGAAACACAGTTTTTTGCATCCAATTTAACTGTTATATATTGTGCTAGATTTCTTGGGAGAACATTTTGGAATCGATATAGCTGGTCAATATAAAGTTAGTTTTGCTTAAGTTTCCTCCTGTAGTAACACCGCAACATTAATTAAGAATGGCTGTTGTCAGATCTTTAGGTAGAAAAGCTTAAAACTGATTGCCTTTTGTCTTTAGTTGTTTCAGAACTCGTAAAAAAGGAACATAAATTTAAAGGTATTCCTTTAGCCGTAATTCCATACTATGATGACTTCGAAGAGCTGCATGAAGAAAGTACAATTAAAACAACAGTCGTCTCTGGAAGTTATCACGTCGACCCTCTTGTCATGGACTATGTAATGAATCACCTAAGAATTGAAGAACAATTCGATTTAACAAAGGTGAAATTCGATGCAAGTTCATCACGATTTTATTTTACAAAAGAGTTCGAAGATTGCGAAGATGATGCGACAGAGTTTGAACAAAAATTGAAAGAGTTTTTTCATTTGTTTGTAAAAGAGGAAATGAAAATCCCGAAAGCTGTTTTTGAGCAAGTTAAGGAAGCAATTGAAGGCAAGCGCAACGAATTCGAAGGGGAGAAAGTCGATTTTAAGTTTGATGGTTTTCGTGTTATTTTCGTTGGCAAAAGAGAGGACGTCGCTGGGAATAAACAGTTAGTCGAAGCAATGATAGATACGTTTACAGAAGAAGCAAAAAAGGGATGGACAGATTTTCCAATAGATGACAAAAATAAGCTGAAATTCCTGAATTTCATTGATTATTTTGAGAAGGTTGTGACAAAATTTCCCGAAATGCGAATTCGTGGAATGGAAAGTTCGTCCGGAAAATTATCGCTTGTAGGAGGAACAGAAGCGAATATAAAAGACGTCAAGATAAAGATCTTTGAAGATTTGATGAAGATCTCGGAGATAGACGTAAAGATGAGTGTTCATCAAATAGACTTTCTGCAGCGGACGGATTGTCAGATTGTGAATGATGAACTGAAGAAGGATGACGTCATGTTAATGTTGGTGTCCATAGAAGGCGTTATGGGAACCAAAGCC